GGATGTTTCTCTCTTGCCAATGTTTCTATTCCTCTCCCGTCTCTAAAAATCAATAAAGGCACATTAAAATTTTATTTTAAAAAGTTACTAGTTAGTAAATGGTAGAGCTGGGCTTTGAACCCTGGTGGTTGGAGTTCAGAACCCACATTGGAGCCATTGTGCCGGGCAGCTTCCTGGATAGTGGGCCTTCGGACAACACTTTAAAATAACATTATTCATGTGTAGATACCAGTCAGTGGCCCTTACAACTCTACGTTGACATCTATTCAATCATTGGTGTGTGTGTGTGTGTGTGTGTGTGTGTGTTTTAATTGTAAGAAAAACATGAGTTACTTGCATAAAGTGTAATCGAGAAAAGGAAGAGGAATGATTATATCCACCAAATTATTTAAGGGAAGTTAATGTTTAAAAGAAAAAAAAAGGAGGAACCTCAGTGATTCAGAAACTGCTGGAGTCTAGGCAGTGATCCGAAGAATGGTTAGAAGAGGTCAGAGTTAGGGGGAACTTAGTAAGTGCCAGGCACTGTGCTAAGCTCTCTGTGATTCTCCTAATAGCCCAGCAAGGTGGGTTCTGTTTTTGTCATCACTACTTCACGTAAAAAGAAAGCATGGCTTGGATCTGTGGCCCTGCTATCCCAGGTGTGCCCAACTCCTCAGTATGCGAGCCCCGAGTCTGCTGTGTCAGGCCATTGCCTGGGACTCTGTACTTCAGACACCCACCTGCCTTGATCGTTTGTGAAGGTGACTTTGTAACAAAAGCCAGAAAGGACAGGCTGGGAATAGACTGTGAAAATGAAAGAAAAGGCCTCTATGGGGGTGTTTTCACCAGTGACAGGATGTCACCAACGTTGTCATTGGTACTAGATATCCAGGGAGTTCTAACAATATGCCAGATTTTGGCAACAGAATTACTTTCAGTCTGAGCCAGTGAATTCGCAAAGCTGAATTCTGTCCTGTGTATGAAATCCAGCGCCCGTTGGCTGGGCAGGGCCCATTCCCCAGGGGAAAGTCAGAGAGGCTCATGGCGTGCAGGACTGAAGGTGGCACCCGCCCCTTGCACCCATCTGACCCCGAGAGTGAACACCTCCCACACTGCGCTCTCTGTGTCTCTTGCCTCACCCTAGTCCCGGCCCTGTGGCTGGGAAAGGGGCTGACCCTTGAATTTTTACAGTCAGTAGATACTGTGAACAGGAATGTGTTTCATATATATTTCTATTCAATAGTAGAGATATGCTCCTAGGATGGAAAATATCTCTGATACCCAAAGGATAATCAGAAATACGAAATTAAGTAATTACACTTTACACAAAGTGATTTGTCACTAAATATGCAAAATATGAATGTGAGAGGTTAGTTATGTTTAAGTCAGAAAGAAAAGGAAAAGATTAACTACTAAAGAGCCCCCCAACCCTCTTACCTTCCTCCCTGCCCCCCCTCCCCCCTGTACACGTACACAATTCAGTAGCAGAGGTCTCAGTCCTTTTTCCACATCCTCAGGCAGACGCTGCTGGCTTTGGGGCCTGCCTTGGCAGGCAGGGACGGTGCAGGAAAAGACCCAGACGCAGCAAAAGCCCTGATTCAAAATTCAGCAGGAAAGAAACTCCTGGAGAAGTGTATTTCCGGAGACTCACAATAAAGAACCTTAAAAATCTCTTAAGCATAGGTTTTTCCAGTAACGCATAACATATGTTCCTTTCTTAGAAATTGGGTTATAACAGTTTTTCTTTTTTGTGGTTGTTTGGTTATAATGAAGTTTCTGGACAGTCCATCAAAACAAACAATGAGCCTGTTTGAGGCATTCCTTTGTGCGTGGGCATTCACGCTGCGGGCCTGGTGCGCCAGACCGAGCTTGCAGCCGGGAGATAGAGTTGTCTTTGCCTGGAGGGACCTCAGACTCTTTGTATATAAATAGACATAAGCAGAAGAATGAGTCTGAGCCAGATTGTTTGGCCCCTTTTCCTTCGACAGGCACACGAGAGGATCACGCAATTGCAACACAACCAAATCCTGAAAAGTGTTGTCGAAACACTTCGTGCTGATAAACCCGTAGGCCATGTTCAGGTTTGGTGTTGGAAACGTGCTCTGCCTTTACAGGTTCTTCTGAGTATCATTCCAGTCATTTACCCAAGGGCAGGACTAATGTAGACTCTGTTAATTCCTGTTATGTAAATGAGCAGCATGGCGGCGTGGACAGGGCATTAGCTGGGGAGTCAGAGCCAGGGCTTCCCCCACAGTGCGGTCCTTGCCCAGGCTGTGTCCTCTGGCAAGTCCTCACTCCCAGCTCCCTGTGAGGACCCTGTTCTGTTCTGGGAGGGTCAAGAGGGTGTTTTCTGTAAGAGGTGGAATTCTCTACAAATGCAAAGAATTTCATTTTGACCTCTTAGTTTCTCCTTCTCTGTGGTCTTAGGAGCCTCTCACTGTGAAGTGATCGAGTCAATAGAAGAGAAAGTAGAGCGACCTAGAATGTGCCCTGGATGCCATTGGCGGCAGTGATATAGTTTCTGTAGAATTGGTTTTAATGTTACCCTGGTTGGAAAAGGGAAAAGGTGCTCTCCTGGTCTTCCTTCTGCCAACTGACCACTTCCCCTAAGTCGCACCGACTCTCCATCTTCTTTTCCTGACCCCTGGACACAGATTGCCCCTGAGCTCAGCCTTGATACAGCTCCTCTTCCTTGTGCTCAGTTGGTCTCCTAGCTTTCAAGATGCACATGACTTCCAAATGCCCATCTCCAGCCCTCAGCAGCTCCCCAGCACTGTGGTCTCCTATATCCAACGATCTGCCCTGTATCCCCACAGATGGTCAGTAAGCTCCTCAAACTTAGGCGGCCAAACTGCTCTCCTCTTGTTTTCCTCCTCCGCTCTTCCCGGCCCAGGCCTCCCCATTCGAGGGGCTGCATGTTACCTCAGCACATCATGTAGATCTCTGCTCAGCTGACACCTCTTCAGAGGCCTTCTCTGTCCATCCCAGCTGAAGTTCTCCCACATTTTAATCTACACCCGCCCCTTGCTTCTCTCCCTCATCCTAGTGCCATTAGAATAGGGACCTTACCAGTCTCATTTATCATCCCTGTTTTCAATGCCTCAGAGGATGCCAGACTTTAATGGGGGCCGAATAAATATTTATTAAAGGAAGGAATAAATGAATTAAAGAAAGAAGAAAGAAAACAAAGGGAGGAAGCAGTTTAACATAGAATTTGCTAAACACTGAGGTAGAACAAAAGGAATTGGTGAAGTTCTGGGAATGCTGTCTCTGAAATAGTTTAAAAAAAACACCTAATTCATAAACTCCTTATGAATGTTCTTTAGGCCTTCATTGAGGGTTAAAGTCGTTTAGGGATCTTGAGGAAAAACGTAAACATTTATGCAGTTTTGGAGTCTCATAATAGTAGTTAGTAAAGGTACTCAGATTGAGTTCAGACTAATGCTGAACTTGGAGATTTTTAAGTGCGTAAACAGATTTTCAAAGTGCAGCAGAATGTTGTTATTGCTTCCTAGCCATCGAAACCCGGGCTGAAGTCCCCATCTTTTTCACTCCGTTGGCAATGAAAGTGATGGGCAGGCAAGGCCGGACAACCTGCTTCCAGAGCTGCCCTTTGCAGGCCTTGGCGTCTGGCTGGAAGGATGAATTACTAGAGGCCTTTGGAACTGACTTCTGAGCATTAACTTCTCCCCCCAGGAGATCAGTAAATGACCCCTTCCACCTGCTGCCATCCACATTTGGAATTCGGTTACATCACTGGTTTCTGCTCCTGCTGGGTGGGTTTTATAATCAGTCTCAAGGAGAAAGAAAGGTGATGGCATGTCGCTTCGCTGCTCTGCCAGCTTCTGTTTGCAGGGACAGTTCACTGCGTCCAAATTAAACTTCATGCGGTGCCATTTTCCCCCTTTGCACATTGATGAGTTGGGTAGCCTCACGCTTATGAAACATTGCTTGCTATTCTGTGGCCAGAATCTAGACGGTGAACTTGTGAAATTTTAGAAGTGAAATCCCCACTGGCCATGGCAAGATAAATAAAGAATCTACAGTGCCATCTGCTGGCATCCTAGGGAAATGCAAGAGATGTCTAGTAGAAGCACCTCTTATAAAACGGGAAAGATCCAACGTGCAAACCTGAGCGTAAATTACTCAAAGTGTGTGATCATTTGAAGAACGTAGATGTAAACAATGAAAGAATTGTAAGTCGATGGGTTTGCTGGAGAAGTGATTAATTACCTGGTTTGGGGCCGTGTTGACAGTTCAGGTTATTGGGGTTTATCTGTAGCAGCAGTCAAACTGGCAGCCAGGCTGGGGCAGGGCGTGGACCAAATCAGATGCCCAGACATGTCCTGAGGAACTTGGACACATCTTTAAAAACATTGGATTATTTGCCGTCACTTAAAAATGTGGAGCTCTGATTAAAAAAAAATGCAGACTTCTGGCTCTTCTTTGACCATTAGAAGATCTAGCAAGATGCATAGTGCACTTGCCAATTGGCAGCTACTGACTGGAGGACCTACATATGGGCTGCCCTCTCTTTGTGGGAACATCCAGACTCCCGTGATTTGGGGGTCCCCCATTCCCTCGATTATTTCTCCTACAGCTGACAACCTTGCTTACTCCTGGCCCGAGTGGCATTTGTGGTCCTAGGCCTGTATTTTCATTATTATTTGCCTTCTTTTTCCCATTAGCACAAGAGGCTTCCCAATGGCAATAATTTCACGGGTAGCTAATAGTTGACAGGAATGGAAGATAAGCTACCTCTGCGATCACCGAGTGAAGTCCGTCCCCTTCATTTGATAGAGGTCTTAGCCTGGAGTGAGTCTTTAATACATGTTGACGAATGGTACACGAGTGTGTTTCTAGAAGGGCAGTTGCTGGCTAGCAAAGGCCATTGGTAAATATCTTATAAAGGTTTTGCTGGCTCTGCTGAGTAATATGGATGCTGGCTCAACCTATTGGGATTGGCAGTTCTCCCTCGAAGGCAGGGCTTCCTGGTAACCAGACTTGTTTTTCTTTTCTAGGAACTCTCTTCACAAGTCAAACTCAGAAGACAGCGCTGTAGGTCAGTACCACGTGTCTTGGTTTATCTATTTTAAATTAATTATTTTCTTGTAATACTTTATAGAATATATATAAACAGGTGAAAATACAAAGACCACCAAGAAGCCTTCCGGCCTGAAATAAACACTGTTAAGATACTGATGTTCAACTTTCCTCTGATTTGGAACTTTTGAATCAAAGATTATGTACAGTGAGGGTGTTATAGACTTTATGTTTCCTTGATGATAAAATCCACTCTTGATGCAGTGACATTTTTTCTGTTTGGGTCAGAGGGAGCCTGGCAAAGCAGTTGTGATTAGGAAGGAGCATGAATGCTCAAATCAGGCTTTGATCTGGATTTGAATCATGACTCTACCAACTTCATAGCTATGACCTCGGGCAGACCACTAGCCTCCCCGAGCCTCGGTTTTCTCATTCACTGAATGGGAACAATAAAACATCATATGTTCATTGTGAGTATTAAATGAGATAGCAGAGTGCCTGGATATAGTAAATGCTGCATAAATGTTAGCTATCACCATTTATTTTTTAAGCCATACCTTCATTTTAGAAAAAAAATGGTAGAAGGGGGAGTGTAGTTTACAGTCAAAGAAATGCGTTATATTCCAGATTGCCCAGGAGAAAGGTTGGCTGAGTAATAATCCTACTTCTGTTTTCACCTTTCCTGGTTTACCCCAAAGGCAGCAGTGCTCCGTCACGCATGCCCTCAAGATGCTGAGTACCCAGGGAGTCTCAGGCTCGCTGGCGCTGGTTCCCATCGCTCCAGAGGTTCTCAGGACTTAAATGAGCACATCTGTTTTGAAAAACGATGTCCTTTCTAGCCCAGGACACTGTGGTGGGGTTTCCACGTGTCTGTCTTCTGCGGCATTGCCTGGCACCACCAGTCTAGACTGTGGAAACCAGCGGTGTGCCACTGGCTGGGCCCTGTTTCCAGGGGCTGTGGGGCAACCAGACACCAAACGGAGACGAAGCTGCAGCTGTGAGCGTGTCACCTCTGCACGGGAGCACACGTCGCTCTGCCCTTTCATTTTATTTTTAAAGAATAAAGGATCCTTCTGTCCTTTCATTTTACTCGCCTTGTTTCCCTTTGCTTTTTAAATTATTACATATTATTGATGATCAGAACTCCTGCCTCCCCCCCCCCCCCC